AGAAAAGTGAAAAAGGCCCATTCCTGTCCAGGAGATGATGGCAGTGGCATACAAATCTGATTCTGCCTCTGCAGCTTCCCTGGAGGTGGGCAGAAGAAGCCCCAGACTGGGCGCACGGGGGATGCTGCCAGCAGTGCTGGGTGTGTGAGGGCATGACTGGTCCCCTCGGGGATACCTTCAGGGAGCTGGCCAGGCCTACTGAGCTGACTCCAGCCCCCGCTTGGCCTTACTCTTCTAGGCATTGAGGCCCGAAATAGCAGCTGCTCGAGAGCTGACAATCAAAGGGCAGCTAAAAAAAGTCCCCAGTCTGGGCTCTGTCGCGCACGGCTCAGAGGACCTATTTTTGGGGAGAGGGTGCCGACATGCCAATGGAAAATCCATGGGGTGAGTGTCTCCAAGGTGGTTGAACCACGTGCCCTCTCCTCATCCCAGTCCCCATACCCTAGTACGTGTGCAAATGCATGCACGGGCGCGTGCGCGTACGCACACACACACACACGCACATGCACACAAGCACAAACACACGTGTGTGCGCGCACACACACACACACACAGAGTCCATAACCCACCTTCTCCATGCTTAGAACTTGCCATCCCTACAAAAATCCAGGAAACAGATGAGAAAAGGAAAATTGAGAAATTTGTCCAAAATCATACAGTTAGGACGTGGGCAGGCTGGGTGCCAGTCTGTATTCCTGAGGCTCACAATGCAGTTCTCCCCACGAGGTAGTTTGTGCCTATGGTGTCACTGAGGAAACCAGCACATTGTCTTCCAGGGCATGGGAAACCATAGAACATTCTGTGTTGGACTGGGTAGAAAACTGAGGGTGACCTGACAGGTTGACTATGTGCAAAGAAACCCTACTGGAGGGGCCAGAGCGATAGTATATCAGGTAGGGCGCTTGCCTTTCACGTGACCTACCTGTCTCCAGCACCCCATATGGTCCCCTGAGCCTGCCAGGAGTGATCCCTGAGTATAAAGCCAGGAGTAAGCCCTGAGCACTGCCAGGTACAGCCAAAAGTAGAACAAAACAAACAAAATCACAAAATCCCAGGATCAGTTCTGATGGGACAGTTCCCTGGATGAACAAGAAACAGCTGTGCAGGCCTTGTCCTGGGTGAGCCCAGTGTTCCCTCTGTCCCTGTACTCCCCCCTCCTTAGCCCCCCAAGCCTGCCAGCCGCTGCCAAGTTTCCAGGGAATGTGTCAGATAAGGGCCTGGTGCTCATGACCACCTCCCAGCCAGCCACTATCTCCAAGCCTGCCACCACCGCCAGGTGGGTAAGAATAGCCTTGGTCCCCGTGAGCGGGCACCACCCAGGACAACCCAGCAGCCGCCCAATCTCAGGTCCTCAGGGCGAGGTCAAGGCTGTGCTGCCCCACCCCACCCCCACCCAGCCCTCAGCACTTCGTGGGAAAGGGCCAAGCCGCATCTCAGTGGAGGGTCTGAAGGCAGTGCTGGGCCTTGTGGCTCCTTGCATGAGCCCTGTCTTCCCCAGTGGAGCTGTGTGACCTGGAACTGGACCCTGGCCCTCTTTGGGACCCTGAAGGATGGTGGACAGACAGCTCGGCCTCTCAGGGGTGAGGGCTGTAGCCCAGCCTGGCTCTTCACTGGCCCTCAGGCCCTCATGGCTGTCACCCCCCACCCCCGGGACATGTGGACCGGGTGGGAAATGATAGGGTGGGAGTGGTGATCCTGGGCAGGAGTGAGGCTGAACCTGTCGGAGGCTCCCTGTGGGAGGTGGTGCTGTGGCGTGTGTGAGGGTGGCTGTCTCACTCTGAGGGAAGAGGCTGTTGTCATGGAAACCACAGTGAGCGTCACTATGTCACCGGAAGATGCAGGAGACATGTGTACAGGTCGTACGTCAGTGCGACACTGACGGTAATCTAGAGCCCCAAGGCCTGTCCCCACGTCAGCAGCCCCTGTAGCTCACGGCCTGACTCACCGAGGCCCATCTCCCCACCTCCTGAGCCCTCTGCTTCCAGCCCCTCGCCTCCTCAAGTCCCCCATTTTCAGGTGACTTCTCCTTGACCCTCACCCCTACCTCACCCTGGTCCCCTGTGATGACCCCAAGGGAGTCCCAGGCAGTAGTCAGGAAAAGTCAGGGAAGGGAAAAAAGGAGGATCTAGGGAGCTCCTGGCACCCCCACCTTGTGCTACAGCATCATGAACACTAGATTTGGCCTGTACCCACCCCCATACACACACACAAATACACACATGTGACTCTGTGACCCCAGAGTCCTTTGTGTCTTCCTGAGTTCCCAGGAACCCTCTGTGGAAATGTTGCAGCAGAAGCATATCTGGAAGTGAGATCCCAGGAAGAACAATCAGCCCTGAGGCCCGGGCTGGAGTCCCAGGGAGCAGAGGGGCCGGGTGGGGCTGGGTCTCTCAGGGCCCAAGCCTGTGTGAGGGCCAGATCGACCTCTGGACCTCGCGCTTCAAGAGCCCTAATCGCTGAGGGTGGAAAAAGTTTAAAAATATCCTCATGTTTACATTCCTCCCAGGCCTGCCTCAGTGCTGGGGCTCTTTGATCTGGCCCGGGGCCTCTGCAGGGTCCTGGGAGATGGGGCACACAAGCCCCCTGTGGGGCCAGGCTGCGCCTCTTCCCAGCCCCACCCCTGTGAAGCCCCTTCACAGAGCTGACCAGCAGCCCAGGCCGGAGGGGCTCCAGGCTCGCTCAGCCAGGCCCAGCTAGGTCCCCTCCGGACTCTGCGTCTCTCCTCCTGAGAGAGACCACCCCAACCCAACCATTAGATTCCTCTGTGGAATGGTGCAGAGACTCCCCATAGCATCTCAGCGAAACCAGGCCCTGTGTATTGTGTGCACCTGACTCCAGAATGGCCACAGTCGGAGCTCCCTGGGACCTGGAGACTCAAGGAAGAAGCTCTCAAACTAGGACTGGTGCCTCATGTGCCCTGGCATCCTGGTATCTACTCTTTCCTTTGGCACCCCACCGGCTTGGTAACCCATCTATCCATCTTTCTGTCTACCCATCCCTTCCACCCATATACCATCTATCCATTCAGACACCCACACACCTGCCATCCATCCTCTCAGCCATTCACCCATTTAACCACCTTGAATCCACCCGCTTACCCCACCTACCCATCTACCATCTACCACTCAGACATCCATCCATCCACCTACTCATTGACCCACTACCATCCACCCACCCACCCACTTGTCCACCCATTAACTTGTCTACTACCTACCCACTGATCCACCTACCAGTCCATCCATCCATCCATCCATCCATCCATCCATCCATCCATCTGTCCATCCAATCCATCCATCCATCTACCCACCCACCCATCCATCCACTCATGCCACTCATCTACCTATTAATCCATACACCCACCTACCCACTGACCCACCTACCATCCACCTGCCTATTCTCCAAGTCACCCACCCACTTCATCCATTGACCCACCTACCCATCCATTAGGCTATCCACCCACCTATCCATCCAGAATGATGACCCAGAGTAGAACGGGGTAATTCATTGCAGGGTCTGAGCTTGGAAGCTGTGGCTCATTGGCTTAGTGAACTGGGGAAACTGGCTCCACCTCTTTACCACGCACGCTCCTGCTTTACATAAAGAAGCCCAGGCCCTTCTGCAGTCCCCTGAGAGCAGAGACCAGTGGACGGACATGTGGAGGGGAATCGTGGCCATCTGCTTCCACCTTGGTTTCCGGTTCCCAGACTCCCTGCTCCAGTCCTTGAACACCCTGACTGTTTAGGTCCTCTGCTGGGCGAGTAGAGCCAGTGCTCCCACCATAGGCTGTGGGAAGAGCTGATGAATTGCTGCATTCAATTGTCTTTGACCCCTAAGGCCTGGGTGGATGCAGGCCGAGTAGAGGCTCCTGGGAGTGTTGAATTCTGGGAGCATGGGAGTCAGTGTATGTCTCTGTGTATGTGAGTGTGTGAGTGGTGAGTGTGTGTGTGGGGGGGGGGGGCGGGGTGTTCTTGTGTCCATCCTGGGCTGGAGATTCTGACTGAATCTCCCAGCCACCATCCCCCTGCCCAGGCCAACAGGATGCCCACCCCATCTCCCCTGGTGGAGGTTGGCCCCCATCCCACAGAATCTGCCAATAGTGGAGAGATTATCTCCTGAAAACAGGGCTTGGGCTCCACCAAGTTTGTTCCCAGACTCCCGCTGTGATTTACCATCATCAGCTCAGTGCCCTTAGGGCAGCCAAGCCCACCCTGACTCCCCAGAGACCCCCTGGGGTGCAAGTGCAGGGACCAAGGACGTGCCTGAGGTCTTCCAGGGTGAGGAGCTGTGGCCAGCTGGACTGTGCTCAGGGCTCCACAGGACACTAGCAACATGGTTGAATGTTCAACCTGAGAAAGGGATTCCTCTGGGTGGAGGCAGCTCAGGTGAGCTCTGGGGGTCCTTGTGCCAACTGTAAGTGCCATGGGAACCGCACTGGGCTGAGTCACTGCTCCCCGGCCTCGCGTCCCCTCAAGAAGCCTCAAGGAGTCTCTGGAAGCTCCCCGCACCAGCCCAAGATGAGGACCCCCATAGCAAAGATGATAGCCAGGAAATCACACAGAAGACAACTCGTCCCCAGCTATCCCCTGGACAGGGAACCAGCCCGGCCTGTAACAGGGGCTCTTTGCATGCTGATGACTTACCTACCTCACTCTGGCCTCACCCTGTCCCCAGTACCCACCCCAAGGGACCAGATCCTTTCAGCGGCATCAGTTGGACACAGGGAATACACACACACACACACACACACACACACACACACGTACATGGACACGGTGTGCAGTCCTGGGGCCCAGCCCAGCCCTGAGGCCTTTATTATCCATCTGACAAATGCCATTTGGATGCACCCCCTGGGCACCCAGAAAGTCAGTATTTAGGCTCTGAAGACACATCAGTACAATGTGGCCACTAGCCCAGGGCAGGTGACAAGTGCTCTAGCTTGGCCCCTGTGCATTTAGGATGCAGGGCTCTCTCCCATGGATTCAGGTGGAGATGCTCCGTGTTCATACTGCTGTCTTCAGGGGCATGCTGTCCACAGGTTGATCAAGGTCCTTCCGTGCCAGTCTCAAATGAGCGAAGATGAGGAGAAGCAGGAAGCCTGAGGGCCCCGAGAGAGACCAGCGCTCAGAGGAGCCGCAGGATGTGTTCCTCCCTGGGGCTTCCCTGTTAGTGGTCTTGGTGACTAAGGAAGCAACAGGTCCAAGACAGAAGACCTGAGCTAGACTGGGAAACCTGTGATCTCGGTGCCCGAACACGCCTGACTGCTGGGTCTGCTCAGCCCCCACCAGAATCCCCGCCATTCCCTGAGGCAGCCCCAGAGCAACCCAATCTCCAGAGGCCCCCTTCTCTATAGAACAATTTGGTTGGGGGTGGAAGTTCACTCCTTTGTGTGGATTTTGGTTCTGATGGCATCAGTGATGTCAGGGGCTGCTCCAAGCTCTATGCTCGGGGGTCGCTCTTGGCAGTGCTCAGAGGACCAGGCGGTACTGGGGTTCGAACCCGGGCCTCCGGCATACTTTGCATGCATTCAGCCTGTGGAGCCATCTCTCCATCCCCGAAGAACAGTCCAGTGGGGGTTATCAGAGAATCAATGAGTCATTGGAGAAAGACACCTTGAGGCATCATGCTAAAAGAGCAAAGAAAACCAGCTAGGAAGGAAGGTAAGGGTAGAAAGTAAAGGATGGTTAGGGAGGCTCGGATTGAAGGAATTAAGTTGGAGGCACAGAGAGGAAGTTCAAAGGGCTTAGCGCAGGCTTTGCATGCAGGAACCCCAGGTTCCATCCCTGGCACTTCATTCTACAGAGCCAGTAGTAGCCCTTGAGCACCACCAGTGTGGCCCCAAAATAAGAGAATTCATCCGGAAAGACCTGGACCCTGTCATCCTCTGACTAGGGAACCTTGGACCAGTCATGTGGCATTTCTGAGCCCTAGTGATCTCTTCTGCACAGAGAAGAGAGGCCAAATCCATCGACCGGGCTGTGGGCAGTGCCAGTGCTTGACAATCCTGAGCTTGGCAGAGACCCGGCAGAGGGCCTGCCTCCCAGTCCAAGTGCAATCAGTGAAATGCTTAATCAGTGGCCGTGCAGAGGGTTCTGCTAACAGGTGGTACCCACAGAATGGCGGGGAGTGCTTCTCCAGCCCTTAGGGCACCATGGATGTTATTTGTCCAAAAGTGCGGCTCTGAACTTCCATTCCCCAGTCCCACCCAGTAATCCCGGCCCCCATTACCTATCACTATCAGGGTGCCCACGAGAGTGCCCACCGCCGACAGCTTCGTGGGCATGCCCTTCATGCGGCCCACCTTGCGCATGCACTCCCTATCCACATTGCAGCGACACACGATCACTGAGGGGAGGGCACAGGGGAGGAAGGTAAGAACCCCGCCAGCCCAGCCGGGAGTGTGCAAGTGAATGGATTCATGTGTCCAGGTGAGACTGCGTGCTGTGTGCTGCATGCCTGTGTGCTGTATTGCATGTCTGCATGCTGTGTGCTTCGATGCCCCTGTGCTGTATGCTGCATGCCGGGGTGCTGTGTGCTGCACACCTACATGCTGTGTATTGCATGCCTGTGTGCTGCGTGCCTAGGTGCTGTGTGTCGCTGCTGGTGTGTACTGAGTGCCATGTGCCCGCAGACCCAGCCCCTCTCCCCATAACCACAGAAGTCACCAGTCACCCACCTGGGGTGCCCCTGAACCCTGATCTCACCTCGGACCTGGAGCTGCCACTTGTGCTCATCACGACGGACCACCACAGGGATCACGTGTTCTCCAGGCTCCACCCAGTGCAGGGCCAGGGTGAGGTAGGCGTGGGAGTCTGTTGGGAACCAGAGCACTGATCAGGCCTCTGTGGCCTGCTGCCTAGGCAAATGCCCACAGTGCCAGGGGATCCCTCTTTGAGATGCGCCTCCACCTTGAGTGGGCCCCGGCCCAGCCCCTACACACCGTTGAGCGACTGGAGGCGCCAGTCCCGCTGCACCGTGGGGTTGGGCCCCAGGATGAAGCTGTAGGGGCTAGCACTGGCCGGGCCAGGGTCCGCGCTGGGCCCACTGACAATCACGCCATGGTCCTGGCGCGGGGTGCAGAGGTGCCGCATGGACATAGAGGGCAGCGTCAGGAAGGGCCCCTTCAGGAAGTGGATGACCAGGATGGCAGAGGCATTCAGGCTGGGCTCATCTGTGGAGGAGGCAAGGGGAGCAGGAGTGAAGCCAGGATCCTTGGGCCCACCCCCGACTCCACCTCATCTGCATGCCCTCTCACTGCACCCCTTCCCACCACGCCCCCACCCCCCACACACACACCAGTCTCCTCTTCATGCCCCGTCTACTGCCTCCACAGTCAAAGGCCTTTCTTGGTCTTTCTGTATGTTAAACTGCCCCCACAAACCCCCAGGACCTCCCCTACTGCTGGCACAAGACTCCAGGATAGGACATCCAGTATCCCGGGGACTTCTTGCCAAGGCGGCACCAGGCTCCAACTGTTCAACTGTCCGTGCCTCACTGTCTTGCTCACTCACCTGCTGACACATACCCAGACCCGACCCGCCCATGACCTCTCATCCCAGCAGTGCCCCTGAAGCCCACCAGCTGGGTCCTGGGCTGGGTTCAGTAGCAAACTAAGGGGGCTGTCCTGAGAGGGGAGGAGAGGCCAGGACTGTGTCCCTGGTGGATAGAGCCATCCTCAGAAATGGCAGGGAGGGCCTGGAGCCATAGCACAGCGGGGAAGGCATTTGCCTTGCACACGGCCAACCTGGGTTCAATTCCCAGCATCCCATAGGGTCCCCCGAGCACTGCCAGGAGTAATTCTTGAGTGCAGAGTCAGGAATAACCCCTGAACATCACCGGGTGTGACCCAAAAAGAATAAAAAGGAGAAGAAATGGCAGGGAAGGCCCTGCGCTCTCCTTCCCTCCTGCAGAGACTGAGTGTATCCAGACAGAGATCCCCCGCCCACCCCAGCCCATCCCTGACATCCCACCTCCCTCCTGGGTTCCCCCCACTACCAACCCTACCTGCAACCCAGGCAGCCACCAGCACCGTGTAGGTGTCCCCAGGCCAGGCGCCCTGCAGGGCCCGAGCCACGCGCACCTTCCCGGATGCCTCCTCGATGGAGAACCAGCCCTTGGAGTCGTTTACCAGCGAGAACCTGCGTGAGAACTCATGTAGTCCTGGGGCCACATAGGAAGGCTTCCCTACATCCCCGGCAGGCGTGTGACCTGCTCAGGGGGGTGGCAGTGTGGGGGAGGAGGCTAGTCTCTCCCCAGCTTTAGGGATTTAGCTGGGGGGCAGGACTTGAAACGGGAACCTGTGATGGTACACTCTGTGGATTGAGTGATCCCACACCATGAATACATGTCACCTTACAAAGGGTCAGATGGGGTTATAAGTGGCACCGTCTGAGTGGAGGTTGGGATGTGCAGTAGAGCCTGGACTGAGCTATTTTGGGGTACAAATACCCTTCTCCAAGTCTGGCCTAGCTCACACAGCCCTGATCTCTCCAATCACAACCTTGACTGAGCCTTAGCTTGAGGTCTCTTCTGGATCGTAAGGAATGGGAACCGTGGGAGGACCCAGGATCCTTGTGGGGGGCAGGGAGGGAAGCCCAAGGAAGGGAGTGGGCTCGGGGCTCACCTGACAGAACTGATGGTGGGACCGGAGGGCCTGATGGTGAGCAGGAGGGAGCCAGCTGGGGTGCCAATGGGGACGCTGGCCTTGTAGCCCATGGGGTTCAGCTTGGGGGCAGGCAGCACCCTCTCCACCAGCACAGTCACAGTGGCTGTGGCTCGGGGGCCTGGGCCCGGCCCCACCAGCTGTGCCACATTCTTCACTACCACCACCAACTCGTGCCTTGGGGCTGCCTCGTAGCTGAGTTTCTGGAACCGATGGGCCCTGGGTCACAATGTGGGCCCACATGGCACCGGGTGATGTGTGACCCCCCCCCATCCCCCACCCATAGCCTCGCACCTTGAGGAGCTGGAGTTGGACATGAGTAGAGTCCGGTTCCCAAGACAGGCCAAAGAGCCCCTTGGCGTTCCCCGCCGTGATGGCAAAGGTCATGAGACGAAAGGCGGGCTCCAGGTCAGCATCGGTGGCCGTGAGTGTGGCCACCAGCGTGCCAGGCTCTGTGTCCTCAGGGACGCTCACGGGCTCAGTCTGGAGAGACGGGGATAGCTGTGAATCCCACCTTCGCGCCAACCCCCTCCCAAACGGGCCCCACTCCTGCTTACCTGGACAGTGGTAAACTCAGGGGCGTGGTCATTGATGTCCAGGACAGTGACTGCGACTTCACAGGTACTGCTGAGGCCTGAGGAAGAAGCGAATGTGGGGGAGGTAAGGACCCCCGAGGGCCGGAGGCTGGGCTGGCTACCATGAGGGCACTTACCACCCTCTGCTCCTCCCAGGTCAGCAGCCACTATCTGGAGCAGGAAGTCCTGTCCTGCACGAAGGGGGGAGGACCCCAAGGTCACAGTGCCCAAGGTGGGGTCCAGCTCAAAGACTGGCCCCTCCACGCCCTCTTCAGCCTCAGGGCTCAGCAGCTGGTACACAACGTGAGAATTGGGGGAGTCGGGAGCGTCTGCATCTTCTGCCAACAGCCTAGTCACCTGGGTGCCTGCAAGACAGAACCCCCAGAGGCCTGCGCTCACCCACAACCCCTCCTCAGGTTGTGCTGGGCTGTGCCAAAGCTTATGCATGAGTGCATGGGTGCATGTGTGGTCAGGACTGTGTCTGAGCTCATATATGTGTGTGTGCTCTTGTGTGCATGTGTGCAGGACTGTATCTGAGCTCATACATGTGTATGCATGTGTGTGCATGTGCGTGTGTGTGCGTGTGCGTGTGCATGTGCGTGTGTGTGTGTCTGAAGGAATGTCCTGAGCTTGTGGTGCATGCCTGTCTGTGCAGGACTGTTCCTGAACTCGCACATGTGTGTACTTTGGGAGTGGAACGGAGGTGGATGGAGGGTCTGAGCTCAGAGCAGTGCAGGATGGATGGTTCATCAGGATGAATCTCCCATCTCTCCCCCAGCCCTTGACCAAACCCCAGTGCACCTGGGGGACTGAGCTCCATGATGCCAATTGGGGGGCCCCGTGGGGGGCAGATGGGTGCGTTGTCGTTTTCATCCATCACCAGCACAGGCAGCACCAGAGGATCTGCGTAGTCCTCGCCGTGGGGGTTCTGGGCCCGCACCTGGAGCAGGTACTACAGTGGGCAGTGGGGGCTTCAGCTGAGGCCAAGGGCAGCTCCACCTGGCCGGGTCTGGGCTCCCTGCTGGCGGTGAACTCCAGCTTTTCTGGGAGCTCTTCCACAGCCTCAGCATCTGTGGGGGATGTGACACCCCCAGAAGCCAACAAGAGAGTGACCAGGAACCCCTCAGCCCGCCCCACCCCAACATCCCCCCCTTACCTCACCTCAGCCTGAGCTTCCCGGTCCAGCTCCTGGGTCACATAGAGCTTCCCCTCTGCATCCACATCAAAGGGGCCGGGGGGCTGGCTGTCCAGGCTGTAATGGACATTGTCCCCGCTCCAGTGTACCTGCAAGGGACGCCACGTGAGGGCGCTACAGGCCAGGGCAGGAACAGCCATGTAAGGTGGGGTCCTGGCTCCCTCTGAGGACAGCGTGAATTCCAGCCAGCCTGATCTCCCTGGGGCCCAGGTTGGGGGAGTAGGGTTCTTCTTAGGACACCAACATAGTGGCCTTGGTGGCCCTGCCCTGCTCCTGGGCCCAGTCCAGAGCACTCATGTCTTCCCAGCAGGTCTCTTCCTGTCCTCCCAGGCGGGCGGGCCTAGAGCATTCCTTGAGCAGGCCTGAGACATTTCTAGGCGGGGTGACAATCCCTGTGGCAGCTGAGGAAGGCTTGGGCACAGGAGGTCAGCACTCAGGGCAACGCCTGGCGGGGGAGGGGGAGGGCTTGGGCCCAGGGGCTGCAGTGCCTCCACTCTGTCTGGGAACACCAGATGGAGGAGCACAGGAACCAGAGGGACAGGTGTCCAACTGAGCACGCACCCCCCAAATCCGTCCTTGCCCAGGCCCTGCTGCACCGGTTGTGCCAGGCACTCACCTGGGCAACCTGGTGCGGGTACAGAGCTTTGAGGTTCTCTGGCAGGCGGAGAGGCTCGAAGGACATCCATGTGCTCGCTATCATGGAGACCACCACGGTGGCTGTGGCCTGGTGGCCCGAGGCCTGGTCACCCATGTCCTTGACCTGGACCAACAGCTGGTAGGGCCCCCCCAGGGCCTGAGCTAAGTGAGTGCTCCCTGGAAGAGGCAAAACGGTGAGCTGACCCATTTGACCCAGCAATACCACTCCTGGGAATATATCCCAGAGAGGCAAAAATGTATAGTCGAAGTGACATCTGCACTTGTTTGTTCATTGCAGCACTCTTTACAATAGCCAGAAACTGGAAGAAACCTGAATGCCCAAGAACAGATGACTGGTTAAAGAAACTTTGGTACATCTACACAATGGAGTACTATGTAGCTCTTAGAAAAGATGAAGTCATGAAATTTACATACAAGTGGTACAATATGGAAAGTATCATGCTAAGCGAAATGAGTCAGAAAGAGAGGGATAGACATAGAAAGATTGCATTCATCTGGGGGATATAAAGTAACAAAGTATGAGATTAATACCCAAGAATAGCTGAGATCAGCACCAGGAGGATTACTCCATAACTTAGAGGCCAGCCGGGTATCCTAGAGGAAAGGGCTGTTCAGATAGAGAAGGGAGCACCAAATAAAGGATGTTTGGAGGATCCTCCCAGGAGGGGAGATGCATGTCGAAAGTAGACTATGGACTGAACATGTTTGCCACTCAGTGCCTCTTTTGCAGACCACAACACCCAAAAGGAGAGAGAGAACACAGGGGATTGCCCTGCCACAGAGACAGGGGGGATGGGGGGATGGGGGTGGGAGGGATATTATCCATGGTGGTGGAAAATGGGCACTGGTGGAGGGATGGGTATCTAATCATTGTATAATTGAAACCAAAGCACAAAAAATTGTAAATCTACAACTTTAAAAAAAATAAAATAAAATAAAGGGAAAAAAAAAAAAACGGTGAGCTGAGACCTGGGCCAGAGCATCCTTGTGGTCGAGGTTCCAAACACAAAGCCAAGAGTGCAGTGGGGTGGGGTGGGATGGGGGCAGGGGTGGGTAGTTTCTTGGCCAGTAGCTGAAATAGACTTTCAGCATCTTTGTGGGTGACCAATCCCAACTTTTCTCTTCCACTTTGGTCAGCTGGGATAGACTAAATTTCCCTGGCCGCCCAGTCCAGCCGCTGCCTCTGATCTCACCCCTGGGCCAGGTCTCTTGCCATCAGCCACTGCCTATGGGGATCCAGCAATGTCCTGGGCTACAACCCCTCAGGGCCTCCTCTCCTTACCCCCAGCTCTGGCCTTCAGGGTGTGAGGCTGGAACTCAGTCCACACCCCTCCAGATGGTCCCCCCATAAGAGCCTGCCCCAGGAATGGCTCCAGGGTGGCCTTTGCAGCCCCCTCCCCAGGATGCTCTTTGCCCCCACTCCCATTCCCCCACCCCCACGCTTGTTTCCTCCTGTTAGGAAGTGGACTCCACCCTGGCCACTCCCCTCCTCCTCCCCATCACACCGGGCTCAGGCTCACCCTTGGGGCTAAGGGCCAGAGCCCCCTGCTGACGCTCCAGCTGGAACATGTCCGGGAAAGGCTGGGCGGGTGACTGGTTCAGGATGTGGAATCGGAGATCCGAGTTGGCTGTGCCGGGCTCATCCCCATCCGAGGCCTCAAGGAAGAGGAAGGCGACGCCTGGTACGTGTGCAGAGGGTGAACCATTAGGGGTGAAGCCGCCTGTGCCTCCCCCTGCGCAATGTTCATTTTCTCATCCTATCAGAATTCCCAAGGTGTCTTGACATTTTTGTTTGGTTTGGTTTGGTTTGGTTGGGGGTCACACCTGGCAGTGCTCAGGGTTTATGCCTGGCTCTGTGCCCAGGAATATTCCTGTTGGTGCTCAGGGGATTATAAGGGATGCTGGGGTTCGAATCCGGGTCAGTCACATGTAAGGCAATGGCCCTGCCTGTCATACTATCACTCTAGCCCCAGTGTTGTAGATTTTTGTTTTGTTTTTAGGCCACACTAAGTGGTGCTTAGTACTCAGGGCTTACTCCTGACTCTGTTCTAAGGAGTTACTCCTTATGGTGCTCAGGGAACCATAGAGGGTGTCACGGATCGATCCCAGGTTGGCCATCTGCAAGGCAAACACCGTGCCCATTGTCCTGTCTTTGTAGCTCCTGTTGTGGCTTTTTAAAAAAATTTTTATTAGTGAAACACCATGAGGTACAGTTGTAGACTTACAAATTTTTGTGCTTGGGTTTCAGTTATACAATGATCAAGTACCCATCCCTCCACCAGTGCCCATTTTCCACCATCATGGGTCCCAGTATCCCTCCCACCCCACCCCCATCGCCCACATCCCACCCTGCTTCTGTGGCAGGGCATTCCCTTTTGTTCTCTCTCTCCTTTTGGGTGTTGTGGTTTGCAAAAGATGCAATGAGTGGCAATCATGTTTGGTCTACAGTCTACTTTCAGCATGCTTCTCCCATCCTGGGAGGATCCTCCCAACACCTTTTATTTGGTGCTCCCTTCTCTATCTGAGCTGCCTTTTCCCCTAACATGTGTGGCTGGCCTCCAAGCTATGGAGCCTGTTGTGGCTTTTTTAACCCCTCTTCGCAGAGGAATAAACTGAGGGTAGAAGTCTCAGAGTGGGTAGAAGTCACCTGAGCACCCTCAGTGGATTGGAGAGGAGAGAACGGGGGCAGTTTGCCTTCTCACTGCCCTCCTCTGGACCAGCTCTCAGGCAGCTCCCCCAACAGTGCCCACCTGCCTGCCCCAGCACTCACCAGCTCTGGTGCCCTGGCTCAGGCGAATTCTGTAGACCTCCTGGGAGAAACGGGGCACCTGGTCATTCTCGTCCTTCACGCGCACACGCACAGGTTGGGGACCCCACAGAAGGTGCCCGTGCTGGGACTCCAGGGTGACCTGCAGGGGAGGACATGAGTGGCCATCCCTGTGTTGGCCCCGCTCCCACCCTGATTCCACTGTACCTGCAACTGGTACTCCGCCCGCTCCTCACGGTCCAGGGCCGCGGTTACCAGCAGGAAGCCCGACTCTGGGTCCACAGCAAAGGGGCCCTGAGCGGCGGCGCCCGAATGTTCCGACAGGACAATGTGGCCCCCAGCTTTCTCGCGGGGCAGTGGGATCTGTGGGAGCAGAGAAAGGTGAAGGGGCGGGACCACACCCGGGGATCACCCCCTTCATCCATGCCCCTGAGACTTAGAGAGGGTGACCACTGGCCCGAGGTCACCCAGACAGTAAGCGACTGGACCGAGACTACTCTGAACATGCTCTTTCCTCCTACCTGTGGATCCCCAGGACTACTTCCTACCTTCGATATAAATCATAAAACTCCGGGTCATTTTTAGCAGATTATTCATAACAAGAAATACAAAATGAATTACTTCAGTTCTGCTTTGGGGGCAGGGTTTGGGGTTCAGGATGGAAATATTTGAAATATGGTGGTGGGAAGGCGTAATGGTGGTGGGAACTGGTGTTCAGATATTAAACATAATCAATTATTGTAAACAACTTTATAAGCACTGTAGCACTGTCCTCCCATTGTTCATCGATTTGCTCAAACGGGCACCAGTAATGTCTCCAGTGTGAGACTTGTTGTTACTGTTTTTGGCATATCGAATATGCCACGGGGAGCTTGCCAGGCTCTGCTGTGTGGGCAGGATACTCTCGGTAGCTTGCCGGGCTCTCTGAAAGGGACGGAGGAATCGAACCCGGGTTGGCTGCGTGCAAAGCAAAGGCCCTACCCGCTGTGCTTTTTCTCCAGTTCAACTTTATAAGAATAAAATAAATTTGTTTAAAACATAAATAAAATGTGAAGCTCCTCAGCCCTCGTTATTGTCTTTTTGTTTTGTTTTTGGACCCCACCAGCAGTGGTCAGGGCTTACTCCTGACTCTGTACTCAGAAGGGACCATATTTGGTACCAAGGAGCCAATTCAGTCGGCCCTGTATAAGGCAAGTGCCCTACCCACTATGCATCACTCTGACCTCACCACATTATAGTTTTTAACTTAAAACTCCTCTTGTCTCTGGGTGCAAACCCTCATGAATCCTTCACGCTATCTACTACCTATCTCTGGAAAACAGCGTTGAAAGGAAACTGGGGCAAGAGGGAACAGGAGGTGCCCGTGGTGGTGGTGGCAGCGGCAGAAGCCGGACCTGGGAGGGGCAGATGGGAGTGGGAGGACTCACCTTGGTCAGGTACAAAGGGAAATTTCCGCCATAGTTTTCTGGGACTTCCACATACAGCTCTGTGGATGGGGCCTGAGGAAGAGCCTGGGAAAAGGTCTCACCTTGTTACTAGGTTCCCACTTGCCACCAGCGACTCCACCCAGGAACCCGTCACCTCAGCTGAGCAGCCTGGCCCTACATGAGCCCATTCACATCTGGCCTTTGACCCCCCCAGGAGGCCTCCAGCCCCTACTGGCCCCCTCCCTCTTGGGTGACCATGCTGGTAGGCTCGCCTGGTGGTGGCGGGGTTGCAGATAGGGGCAATAGGATCGAGGACCTGAGGAGAGGGACGGGCGCTCACCTGGGGGAGACAGAGGCTCAACAGCCATAGCCAGGCTGGCACCATGGTCCGGGTGGGCCTGAGGGACACGGTGGTGAGACTTCAGCCCCGATCACTGTCCTCCCCTCCAGAAGCCCCCCATCTGCCCCCCGCCAGACCTCAGTTACTTCCTTGAGGACAAAACTCTCTCTTGCTCACCCGCCTCCAGCTGCAGACCACAGCGCCAACTTGCCCCTTCTTCTCCTGCCGGACCCCTGCTCCCCGGCCACCAGGCCTCCTCCTGTCCCCCTCTTCCGCAGCCTGCCCCAGCCCACCCGGGTCCCCTACGTCAGCCATTCCCGGCTCCTCTTCCGCCTCGAAGGTTCTGTGGCTCCCCATAATCTGTGTGGTAGCACTCAGCTCCTCAGTCAGGCCCCGCATGGCCACCAGGACCAGCATGAGAGTCTCATCCCCTGACCTTTGTCCTCTCCCCGCCTCCCCAGCTTAGAGATTCTCAAGGGGTCATTTCCCGGCAGGCCCCAGTGAAAGCTGCAAAAACCCCAGTGACGACGGAAGGTCTCTGTCAGAACTGAAGGGCGTGGCCAAGGTCACAGAGGACTTGACCACAGACCGCCTCTGGAACCCGAGATCCAAGATCTCCCCCACAGCACCCCCACACCACCCCAAGATCCCTTCCCCCCACCCGCGGCCCTTTCCAGCTCTCAGCTGGAGGCACACACAGAACTGGGACAAGCCCTCCAAGCAGGCCCTGAGATGCCCCCAGGACCCTCCCACCCCACTCCTCCATGCTGCTCACCCGCTGGTGCTGAGACGGAGCCAGCCCTGACTCCGACCCTCTGGAGCGGCCGCCGCTCGCCCAGGGAGGCACTTGGCTCTGGCCACGCGTGCTCAGAGGGGAATTCAGCTCCGGGCCCGCAGCAGCAGGCCAGCCCCTCCCAAACCCCCAAGTTACTCATTGACTTTGGAAAGCTGGGGTGCTCAGCATCCGTGACTGCCAGCCCCAGGAGGTGGGGAGATCACCGGCCCGGCACGCCCCGCACCCCTCCTACATCACCCACCAGGGAGGACTTGGGCACTTCCTCCAGTGCTCTGCACTATCCCACTTTGGCCCCTGGGCACCAGGCCGGCAGCTCTGCCTCAACCATTACTGCTCCTTTGGTCTGGAAGGAACTTTTTTTGGTCTGTGAGAACCTTTCCCTCACTTGCACCCCACTTTCTGCCAGCTGAGTGCCTGCTCAGGCTCTAGGGTTCTGCTCCTAGTCCCTAGGTCTCCTCTGGAAATGCCCCTCCTCCAGGCCAGTGCTGGCTCCATCAACCAGAAGACCCCAAGTGGTCGTCAGTTCTAGGTTGTCTCAGTCTGTCTCTGGCCACACTCCCAGGCAAGGAGCTGGAGGGTGTGCAGGAAAGGGAGCAAGACACGCACAACCTCAACTGTAGCACCGGGGCTCCAGCACGCCCAGCAGGGGGGCCCGCAGTGGGGAGAGGCAGCCTGTGAGGTCCCCTGAGGCTGCCTCAGCACTCCCATTCACCTCAGCACACCCATGGGTGGGGGACAAGGGCCTGGGGCACTTCCAGGAAGAGAGGACAAGACTGAGCCAGCCCTGGTGACCTTGATGGAAGGCAAGGCTGACCGGACCGTGCCCCTGCGAGGCAGCCAAGTGCAGCCAAGAAAAGTTCCCGGGGCCTCCGAGTCTGGGGAGGAGGAAGAGGGGAGGGCCGGGGAGCCCGGGTGGCCGCCCCACCTTGTTCTCACGCGTCCCGTGGCCTCGGCCAGGCCGTTTTTACTCCATATCCAACTTCCTCAGCTGCCCTCCAGCCTGGTGGGTCACAAGCTGAATGCCCGCTCAGGGTCACCCTCACCTGCAGAGGGGCGATGGCCGGAGTGGAGGGTCACAGGGCTGAGAGCCTTCCTTCCTACTTCACAGGCCACTCTGGAGCACAGCAAGGGGGAGGGCCTGCCTGCAGCCATGAAGCCAGACTGAGGCAAACCCAGGAAGGTTCTGGATGCTCCTCCTGACCTTGGGGCCTTCACAGCTCTGCGAAAACCACCACCTTGAAGTATCTATTGGGGGGGGGGGTTGGGTGGAGAGCAACATCTTCAACAGTTACCATTGCCTTTGGGTCCCCCAAACCTCCTCTAGCCATTGAACTGTGGTAAGTTGGGGTTCTAGTCTGTGGCTGCCAGGACTCAAAGGGGTCTGTGTAATAAATCAACCAAACCAACGCAAGATGTATAAACCCTGGCCTGGAACCTTCTCAGAAACTGCCCGCCTTGCTCAGAGACAGGTCGCCCTCCAAACCAATGCCCCACCCATCTACTGCTCCCAATGGGACCTGGTTTTAGTGCTCCACCTGCCACCACTGCCTATGGGGAGGTCATTCCAGAAACTGTGTCAGTGAAGAGGGACGGCACCTGTGCAGGAAGGTGCCCCCATTTTCTTGGGCTGCAGCTAGGGAGCCAGGCACACCTCCAGATAAAGAAGCACCCCTGTCCCACACCACCACGGCCTCTCATTCCAGATGGGAAGGGCAGCACTGTGGACTGACACCACAGGAGCCAGTGCACAGCCGGCCCCGACAGCGTGAGAAAACACTCTGCACCCCAACAGCCCATCAGCAGCCTCAGCAAGAAGTGGAGAGCCATGGGGAGTCCAGTCCCCAGGAGGGTGCCTCCTTCAATCCCACCCTAAATAAAGCAGCGGCCTTGTTCTCCAGGTGGGGAGAGCTCAAACCCTTCCCCAACCACCCCGTCTCCATCAGTTCCTGTCTCTTCGGAGACAGCAGGGCAGAGACAAGACTAAGGCCTTTGGGGTGGGGGTAAGGTGCCCAGTGCCCTTCCAGTGGGTGATCTCCATCCACAATCCCCAGTTGAATAGTAGGGGGTGTCTCCTACTGTCTGACCCCAAACAGGCCCCAGTTGGATCACTTGCGGTCGCAATATTCAGAAAATTGAGGCTATACACAAAGATGGGGTGGCGACCCCCCATCTCTCAGCTCGGGGTCCCTGGGGTCCCTGCTTCTGCAGTCCTGGGATGGGAGGAATCAGAGATCACAGCCCGGACTATCAGGAAATAGTCTTTATTACAAAACTCCACATGTAAACATAAAGCCACTGCACTGAACGGCCTTCTCCCAGGCCACGAATGATCCAGGTGGAAAGACAGACGGACGGAGGGAGTCTGCTCCCCTCATGCAGGCCTGCCATGGGGTGGGCTCCCGCTGCAGCCTCCGACAGCCACCGGGTGCTGCCTCCCGGGGCAGCACTGTCTGTCCATGACCGTGAAACCAAAGGATGCCCAAAGTTTTGAGTCCGCCTGGGGCACCTGGGGCGGTTGGCTGGGCCGGCCCACCCATCTGCCTGTCTCTCTGCCCCTCGCAGCGAGCACTGGGCTGCGGGCCCTAGAGCACCGAGAGGTCGTGGCAGGACTTGGACTTGGCCCGGAAGGCCATCTTGCGGCTGTTGCGGGCTACGATGCGGCCCAGGAAGCGCTTGGCCTTCTTGCCCAGGCTCTCTCGCCGCCCGGAGCCTGCTTGTCGGCGCGCGTTGGCCTCTTTGCTGTCCCTGCGCAGGCGGATCTGACGCACGACACCCTCAAACAGTGCCTGGACGTTGTGGTGCAGTGCGGCTGACGTCTCGATGAACTTACAGTCGAACACCACGGCGCAGGCCCGGCCCTCTGCAGTGGGATGACAGAGAGGGCCGTAAGTGGAGAGCAGGTGAGTGGGTGAAGGGTCCATTACAGCATGGTGTGCCCTCCCCTGCCTAAGGCAGCTCCCACTTAGGAATCTGGGGAAGGCGGGAATGGGGGGCCTAGATCCTCCCAAGAAACAGAACCTCCAGATTCTGAACAGAGGGTTCTGGGCATTAGTGGGCTCCCCATCAGACCGTTTGCCTATGATAAGGAACTCACGAAGGAGATCCAAGTACTAGAACAATTTGTTTTGTTTTTAAGTCACACCTGGCAGCGTTCAGTGCTTACTCCTGGCTCTGTGCTCAGGGGTCACTCCTGGGGTTACTCAGGGGACCATATGTGGTGCTGGGAATTGAACCCAGGGCACCAGCAAGGCAAGTGCACTACCCACTGCACTATCACTCTGCCCAAGGAGCTAGAAAAGGAGAACCCGAGGTGCCCCGACTCAGCACCCAGTAGCCCCCACCCCCCAGCACCTGGCGCCCTTCCCAACATCCTAGGTCTTTGGGAGCCCTTCTGGGGGCAGCTGCTCCCCACTCCACACACAGGTACACCCCAAGTTTCCCAACTGAGCATTTTGAGTCACTGAAGATCCCCTGGGCCCAGAGCTTTGCCAGGATCTCCCTCCCTCCCCAGCCCCGCCGCTGCTCACCATCCAGGGACACCTCTCGGGAGCGCACCAGGTCACTCTTGTTGCCCACGAGGATGATGGGCACGTCGTCTGCCTGCCGCGCGCGCCGCAGCTGGATCCGCAGCTCCGACGCTTTCTCAAAGCTGCCCTTGTCAGTCACAGAGTACACGATGACATAGGCATCGCCCATAGCCATGCAGTGACCCGGGAGCCAGTGGCCACCATCCTAAGGAACACATCAGCAGCCAATTGGCATCAACTCCAGGGTTCTTGTGCCCAGAAGGTTCTTGTCCGCTGGCATCAACATCCCACTGCCCTGACCCCCAGCAGCTCCCCAATCCCTGTCTGGTACCCAGATCACAGATGCATCTTACCTGATCCCAAATGTCATACACCATGAGAGACGTCTCTTCTCCGTCTACCAGCACCGAACGATCATACGTGTGCCCTGGACGGGAGGTCAGAGTCACCCAGGGGGACCAAAGTGCCTCCAGTGACTCATTTTCACACACGCGGCACCTCTTCTCCAAATCAAATCCCCCTTCCCCGCCAGGCTCTCTCCCCCCACTAACGCATTCCTCCAAAGGGATAAGAGAAAAGATAGGGTGGGAAAGTAGAGGGTGGGGGGCATGCTGTACTGGCCCCCCTAGGAACCCCGTTCTCCTAGCTAGCAGTATGCCCGCAGCCCTCCGGCTGCCCAGGAACCTGAGTTAGAGGAATAAATGTCAGGTCCCCGGAGATGCCTTTCCTAGAAACTCCCTCTGGTTGTATTCTTGCCAAGTCTTCAGAGAGACTACTGTCCCCAACATACAAGTAGATCCACCCACCCCACTCCTCCACCGCCGCCCTCCACCCCACCCCCCCAAAAAAAATTTTTGAGTATTTCTCTTGCCACAGGCTGGCGCCCTTCGCGGTCGCCCCCCACCCCCCCGCAAAGGACAGGTGGCGTCTGATTGCAAACGAGCTTCAGAACCCAGCGAGAGCCACCACTCGGTCCCCCGGGGAGCCGCCCGACCCCCGGGACGTCGGTGCCCTCCGCAGCCGCTCACCTGCAGCCTCGGCTTCAGGCCCGTCCTCCACGCCCCCGAAGATGCGCGCCAGGGCGCTCTTGCCCACGCCTGGCGCTCCCAGCAGCAGCACCTTGTAAACGCTCTCGTCGCTGTCCCCGGAGCTGAGCGAGTCGGAGGAGCCTTCGGGCCAGTCGAGAGCGGGTCGCGGAGCCCCTGTGGCAGCCCCAGCCGCGGCCAGCGCGCCGGGGGCCAGGGCCGCCTGCAGGTCGCGCTCGTCCACGGGCATGCTGCGGCGGTGCAGCGCGGCCGCCGGGCCCCAGGGCGTGCTGCCCCGACGGCGCTCACGCTCCCGCACGCCGCGGCTCCCGCACGCCGCGCCGCCGCCGCTGTTCAGGGTCATCGCGTCCCGCACCGTCTGGGGAAGCCGGAGCGCGAGGGCAGGGTCAGCGCGGGCAGTGGGCGCGGGTCCCCCAGCCCCCGCCGCGAGGGACCCTCCTGATTCCACCCCCATCCTCCTCTCTCGCTCTCCCCGACCTCCGTGGCGCTGCCGCCGACGGGGCGACCACCCCGCCAGCGCTCCCCGCTGGGACACTCACCACTCGCACAAGCACAGTCACGACGGGGTCCCGGGCTGCGCTCTCTCAGGCTCGGCCACCGCAAGCTGCCCGCTGCTGCCTCCGCTGACCGTGCTGGGTCCCCGCTTCCCGAGCCGCCTATTTAAGCCTCTGCCCGCCCCCGCCTGCCGCCCCCGCTCTCGCCCCCGTCCACGCCGGTGCGGGGGCTGACGTGTCGGTCCCCCCCCTCCCGCTCCCCGCCAGGGAAATCCCCCACCCTCCTTTGAGGCCCTCAGTCCACCGAGACCACGCCCCACCCGCTAGGCGCGCCCCTAGAGAGTGTGAGTATGAGGGAGGGGGAGGGGGGTGTTGTCCGGGTGGGGGGATAACTTCTCTCTGGGGAAGAATTAGATCTGGCCCTTTAAAAGTGAATGCTCCATGTCATCACACACACACACACACACACACACACACACACACACACACGGCTCACTACACCTTTCTTCTGATCAGGACATCCACTCTTCCCCACCTCTCTGAGCCTGAATATGGAGTATGGGGGCCTCAACACCAAATGCTTCAACCCCCTCTGCGGCAAACCCCTGAAGACCCCAGAGAGGCATGGGGGGAGGGGGCAGGCAGTTCACAGAAGGGAGGCCCTCCAGCAGGGGGCTGCTGGCTGGGTCCATGCTTGAATTCTGGGGTGGAATATCGGGCCTAGAGAAGGAAAAGGGTGAACCCAGTCCCCATCTCACCCACCCTGCCCCACCCCCTACACTGTCCTGCAACTGCCAGCAACTGGGCTAAAAATACCTCAGCTGGTCACTCAGCCTGGGCATTAGGCTACTGGGCTGGAGACTGCCCAGAGCTGGGGAAGTCCAGGCAGACAGGTGGCAGAGGCTAGACAGAGTGGACAGATGAGGGACTGGAACCAGACATGGTATCAGGTCTCCTGCCTTCCCTCCAGCCCAGAGAGGGCCTAGTTTAGACTCCTACCCAGGGTAGAGTGTGTGTGTGTGTGTGTGTGTGTGTGTGTGCCTGTGTGTATGTGACGGTGGACTGTCCTGCACATGGCGTGGTCCAAGCACAGTGGGCCGATGGAACAGGGAAGCTGCTTTCTTGTTCTGTCTCTGCCTCCCTCCCAGTCTCAGAGTACCCAGCTCTGGTATAAATTAGGCATCATCTTTAAATTGGGCTTACAAAGTGGGCATGTCCACCTCTTGTCCACCTCTGGAGTACAAGGAGTGGGGGCAAGCAGGCAGCGTGGCACCTTGTGATAGGGCCCTGCTGTGAGACTCTGACGATCCGTGGTGACGAATGTGGTGGGGGTGGGCAGCACCATTCAGGCTCAGGTGACATCATGATTGGGTGGATCCTGGTGGGCTGTCATAGGTTGTCATGGAGACCTGGGTCAGGCTCTCTGGCTGCTGCACCAGTTTCCTTGGCAACATCTGAGGAGGCCTTGAAGTCAGGAGGCATTGGATTAGCAAGTATTAGAAGGGTACGTGCCATGTACCCCACACTTCCACGCCCCATTCTTGTTTTTGGTACTAAGTCTCTTGCTTTTGAGGGCCTCAAGTAGGTGGGGGTGCCCTGGAGGGTGACACTGGAGGGTGTTCTGCTCCTGTGTCCTTCCCATAACCCTGGGGGTCTTAGAGGCCCTGAACAGCCCATGCTGGCTCTAACTTCCTGGACACAGTCCACTGGGGAGAGGGAGTCGGGTGTCAGATTCAGTGACCAGCAAACCACTTCCAGTCAAGAGTCCTGGCCGGGCTGCTGTGGCCAACGCTCATCCCCTCCTCACAGATGACCATGCCACCTGAGCCCAGGGCTGTCCGGCAGAGGGAGCAGCAGTAGCTCTTCCCAGCAGGGAGCCATGCAAGGAATTAGAGCTGGGTTTCCCCTCTGGTAATCTGAGCACTTGACCTCAGCAGTGTTTCCTCATCGCCAAGGGAACTGCATCCACATTGGGCCACTCAGGCCACTGGCATCCCCCAGCAGGCCAGAGCCACTCAGCACACACTTAGATATGACTGGGGCCCCTAGAGATCCAGACCAGGACATGACCTTGAGACACCCCCCCACCCCCGCCATCCCCCATCTCCTATTCTTTCCAGTTCCCTGGGCTAAGCTTGGCAGTTCAGAAGGAGCAAACTCAAACTGGACTCCCTGGACAGCCTGACCTTCCCATCCCATTTGTGCTCCTTGCTAGCCATTTCACTTCTGCTGTGCTTCTGTTTCACCTGAGTAGAGCAGAAATCCTACTTTCATGGGGATTATCAGCAGAGCAAAGTACTGCCCAGTGCACAGGTTAATGTGGCTGGCATGTGGTTAGAGCCTGTCAGCATCCTGGGCTGTAGGAGAGACTCCGCGCCGCTGCTTTCCTGCTTCGGCTCCATTCTCCCCACGTGAGAGTCTGCCCAGGAGAAGAACAGATGCAGAAACCTGTACCTGCTTCCCCATACCCATTTTCTCTTTTTGGGACACCTGGAATAATTCTGCCTCCCTTGGGTAGCAAAATGTTGCAGAGTGAGTGTGCCTGGGTTTCTGCATACTCAGCCATCCTCAGCAACAGTTCCCAGCTCCAGGATTCAATTCATTCCTTCTTTCCATTCGGCCTGTACTAAGTACCTACTGTGTGTCAGGCCCTGGTGCCTCAGTTCCCAGGATAAGGAGCAACTTCGAGTGGGCACTCCCGATGTTACCCTGAATCCCTGGGTCAATCTTGCTTGGCTGTGATTTGCTCCCAATTTGTGGATAAGGAGACCCCCAGACGTGGGAGATCACAGGCCTGAAACAGCAGAGTCAGCCACGCTTAAAGGAGGGCTCAGAAGCCTAACACTTCACCAGACCCTGTTCTTTGTTCTCAAACAGCAGCTGGGGATCCAGAAAGTTCCCCAGGCACTAGCCCAGCATTCCCAGATGGTGTCCCTGCAGGGAGTTAGGGCCCAGACACGATGAGTCAAGACGGACAAGGAACTGTCCCATATGCAGCTACCACGTGCGCTTCATGTCTCTTGCGGGGGCCCCCCAGTCATGCCAACTGAATGACTCAGCGGCAGCTGCTTCCCCATGACCCCCAACCTCCTGTTGAACATGGGCACCATGGACAGCTCAGGCAGCTGGGGCTGTCAGTGCAGAGGGCACCGGGTGGTGTGAGGTGGGTGTGGAGTGGAACCTCCAGCAGTGTACAGGGGACTGGGAAGGTTCCTGACGGGTCGCCCTGTCTCTCTGCAGGAAGCCAGGGCAGGCTTGGGTGGGGGGTTGGGGGGTAGTATGCCAGGAAGAAATCGCAAATATAGGCCCAGATCCACTGAATCTCCACAGAGCATTCCGAGCAACTGTCATAACTGTCACAACTGTCCCCACATTACACCAGGGAAACTGAGCCAGGGGCTGGTAGCATATTACTTCTGGGCTTAACAGCCACATGCAGAGTCTTGCTCTTGGGCGCAAAGGCCCTGACCCCAGTAGCTGGGAAATTAATTGGGGGTGGCAACAGCGCCCCCTACCAACTTAGTACCTGCCAAGCTACTAAGGTTCCTCTTAACCTCCTAGCTGGAGGTCTTAGGAGTGATTTAGATTCCTCACCTGCACAACAGGAATAACTAATGGCAGTAGCCACCCGCTGGATGGAGGGTCAACAATTAGATCATTTATATCAGTCCTATAACCCCTCAGAACTGGTTAATGTTGGGGCTGGAGTGATAGCACAGTGGGTAGGGCGTTTGCCTTGCACGCGTTTGACCCGGGTTCGATTCCCAGCATCCCATATGGTCCCCCAAGCACTGCCAGGAGTAATTCCTGAGTGCAGAGCCGGGAGTAACCCAGGGGTTACTCCTGGTTATTGCTGGGTGTGACCCAAAACGCCAAAAAAAGAAAAAGAACTGGTCAATGTTGTCAGCTGGCAGAGAACAGATTTACCAAAGGCCTCTGGAACTCTCTGCCTGCTAATGGTTTCTGAGCTTCAGATAAGGTGGACAGGCCTTATCCCTATTGTCTCAGAACAAGAAACCAAAGCAGGAAATGTGGCCATCAGCTGCCTAACTGACTAATTCAAGGCAGAAGCCCCATAGCCTCATCTAGTGATCAAGCAGCTGTGCTCTGGACACAGGACCAGGGGAGGCAGAGGCCCCATTCCCGAACGATTGCGGCAACAAACTCCTCTGGGGATACTGATGGAGATGGTGCCTCAGGTTCCTCTCATCACTGAAATCTATCAGTCTCCTCAGTAGAAGCCCAGACTGAACCTCCCCGAGAGCGGGACACGCTGCCATCCACCACTGGGAGATGCTCGTGGAGGGCATACAACTCTCCTGGGCAAGGTTCATGGTCCCAAACTCTTCTGGGCAAGGTTCACGCTCCCAAACTCAAACCCAAATCCAATCCATTTCTGCTTTGCAGAGCTGAGAGACAGCACAGGGGTTAAGGCTGTTCAATCCCTAGCACCGTATAATGTTCCCTAAGCTCCTTCAGAAGTGATCCATGAGCAGAGTCGGGAGTAACCCCTGAACACTTTCCGGTGTGGCCCTCTCCACTTCAAAAAAACAACTTCAGCTTTACACAGACTGCACATCTCTCCAGGTCAACTTGAGTCAGTGTTTGAACTGGAAATATACATCAAAGGGCCGAGTGCATGTTTTGTATTCAGGTTCAATTCCTGGCACCACAGTTTCGTAAACAGCCCCGGAAGGAACCCCCTGGCCCCAAGTAGTCACGAGTAGCTCCAGCACTGCTCATTGTGGTTGAATGTGGTTCAATAGTAAGGCACATGCTCCTTGTATGTGTAATTCATGGATCCTTGAGTTCAATCCCCAATACAGAAAAAAAAAAATTTTTTTTCAGTTTAAAACAAAGGATCCAGAAAATAGATCAACGGCTTAAAGTGCTTGCATGGTGTGATCAAGGTATGAGTTCAAACTCTGGTGTCGCCTCATAAGTGGAGGTAACTAGAAGAGTCCTGCTGTTTGTGATCCCCAGTGAGAAGGGACAGAGAGGACTCAGTGGTTAGGAAGCACTCAGAGGAAGCATGAAGCCATGAGCTTAATCCTAGGGACGGTGCATGTGCTGGGGGAATCCTGGCAAGCCTGACATCTGGAGTCCCTCAGAGGGAAAAAAAAAAAAAAAGTCAATGTCAAAAGAGATA